AAAAAAGCTTTAGATATATTGTTACAATTTTTTACATCATATTTGCGTGAATTCGGATTTTCAGCATTAACAAACATAAAAAAGAAAAAAGGTAGGGACTTTTAAATGTAGATGACGAACTGACAGTGGCAATATAAATTTTTACGACTAGATATAAAAAAATTATCAAAAATCATCAAACTCAAATTTCCCATTAAATATATTCTTATAATTAATTTGCAATTAAGTAATCAAGAAACATTTTGTTGTATTTACCGTAATTGTTAAAAGTATACCACAAAAAAAAACAAGTAAAATAAAAAAAAAAAATTAAGTCAATTCCTACTTAGATCAATCAACAAAGAAAAATTTTATTTTAGCTACTTTTTATTAAATATTTACAATTAATATAAATATGTATATATATAGGACAGAATCACAACATTAAGTCATAATTAATTTTTATTAATTATTTTTATTAATCATCATTAAAGTATCGTATTGCCATCCAAAACAATCGTGTACATAAAATTTCAGTTCAACTGAAAGCTTTCAAACGTGAGAAAAAAGCCTTTTCAAGTTTTGAGACACAAGTCGCCAAAAATGATGCCAACGGGGCTGTATTTGTAATTCTTTAAATAATTAATTTAATCAATTAATTTTTATTAATTATAATTAAATTATTGTATTCTCATCCAAAATAATCATGTATATGAAATTTCAGCTCAATTGAGCGCTGTAAAATGTATTTTATTAACGATTGAAAATTCCTCCAGGATAAATAAATAAATATATAGAGAGAGAGTGTGTGAGTTAATAGTAGGAATTGAAAAAAGGTTGAGAATCCCTGGTCAAGATATAATGCCCTTACATTTAATCCTTCAGTATTTCTAAGATCCTGCCAAAACATAGCTTTTACTCTCCAATATAAATTTGATATTTCAATTAGCATTGTATATATTTGGTTCCTAAATTTAATTTTTTCATTAATGTATTGAAATGAAAAATTGCGCCTGTTAATAATCATATTTATTTGACAACAATAAACTGAAAAACTACATATTCTAAAATCATTTTCAATTGCAATCTTTAAAAAAGGATTTTTCTTATTTAGTGAAATTAAATGACATTGTTATACAACAATTCGATTGTATCATTGTTTATAAATTATCTCATTGAAATAACTTAGAATCTTATTTTCTGATTTTTACGTACCATTTTTAAAACATTATTTTTAACTTATGTAGTTATTTTGAAATTTTTTTAACACCTTGATGGGGCTATTTAGAAATACCCTCTTACATTAAACAATATATCTAGTTAAAAAAGAATCATACGGAGTTTTTAGGTGAAACACCTGAATAATTTTATTATGTACAAAAAACAATAATGATGCAATAATATCAATAACAGTACTAAAAAATGCTGTGGTAATAATAATATTAATTTAATGAAAGCGAGATATCATTATTAAAAAAATGGTAATTTATTTTTATTTGTTATTGTAATAATACTATAAATAAATTAAAAAGATGAATTGAACAAATACTTTCTTTCCTTGGAAATACTTTTGAAGTCCCCATAAAATTATGGGTAAATTATGAAAGCATGAGTATATTTGTGTGATAAAGATTTGTGATAGATTCATTTTTGTTTTCAAACTTTCTAAAATTACTTCCTTTTTATATTTTTTAAAAAATGCTTAGTTTGTTCATTATAAATTTTTTTTTATTTAAGTACCAAAAAATATCCCGTTAGAAATATAAAACAGTAGCTCATACTGTCCCCCATTAAATTAAAATATATCTGACAACAACTTTTCTTTCAAAAAATATTATATACTTATTCATATTAGTATTGTAATGCCTTGGAGGCATTTGCATTTGAAAATACTGAAATATTTTTAAAGCAACTCTTAAGATATACATGCTTATTAAAATTTGAAAACTTGAACAAAATCGTTTTAGAGTTATTTGTTCATTTACATTTCTGGAAGTTTAACTTTACAAAGATTTAAAACAAAAATTGCATAAAAATGTAATTGATAATCTGAAAGTTCTGAATAACAGATGATTATTCTAGCAGTTAGTAAGGAGTTTCATATTCTTACACCAAAATCAATTTAATTCAGTAACACAAACAGTGATTTTCGTTTTTTAATATAATTCATTGCTTTTGAAAGAAATTATCTTTTAATGCATCGCTATATTTATCATATTTTATTAATATGATAAATTTAATGTAATATTTTAGTTATTACATTTTGGAATATCAAATCATATGAAAAAAAAAATGAATAAATAGTAAAGAATATGATTTTGTATTTTAGTATAATAAATACTCATTCTTTTGTATTTAAACTTAAGATACTTCTATAAGATGCATTTATTTACGATCAAATATTTAACTTTTTCCATAAAAATTTTGATTCAAAATTTTTATTATAAAAATAATTCCAAATCTCCCAGTTCATTCCTTCCATGAAAATGTGTTTCACTATTCCATATTCTTGCAAATTTATTTCTTAAGTTTCAAATATTCTCCCCAAATTTATTTTTTATTCAAATAAATTATTTTTTTGAAGTTAATACTTTAAAATACTTCTTAATTAATTTATTCAGCGAGATATGTTTCGGACTATGCTTTGAAATTCCTTACCAATCAATTAAGACATTTTTTTTAGTTCCATACTTTTTCTAAATAAACGGTGGAATAACAGAGAAAATTTGACTTCTAATAAAAGTATAAATTCATAAATTATTACGTTAAAGAAAATTATTATAAAAGAGAAAATAATAAATTGGAAAAAAGCAGCGTGTATAAATGAGTTTTGTGAAAAAGATTTGACAACTTTAAAGAAACTTACCTAACTTCCCTTTTAACTCTGGATAGCCCTTAAGTCCGGCTTGTGCCTATGTTCATTAGGACCTAACTTAATTCGCAGTTTACAAACCGCTCGGAACGATATGTTTTGTTCATTGTGGAGTTACAAGGCATTCGTTCAAAAGTTTGTCCCGTTCATTTTAGTCATTCTCTCATCTTGCACCTCTCACCTACCTTTCAGTCCCTCTGGATGGGGTTGCCAAACGATTTACGGAGACAATTGGAGTATCAATGCTTTAAAGTCGCCAAGACAAATAAGTGCCAAGGAAAGTCGCCAACAAGATGCGGAAGTATAATCACTCGTTTATTCATTAAGGTAATCATAAGAGATCTTTGAAAGAAAGATTAAATTGGTATTACACATTGTACGCTAAAAAATTTTAACGATGGGTATTATTGTGAAGTTTTTTTCATGTTTCTCAGGATGAAATATTTAAATATCTATATTCATTGGACAGGAATTAATTACTTCGTGCAAATTGATTTTGTCCATGAAAAAAAGGTATAAAATAAATATTATTTATTTCTATATATAATGAAGAAAAATTAAGCATTTTATTAAATAAAAATGGGATTAATAATTCCACATAAATTTCTGTATTTAATTGACACTTGTTTGCGTACAAGTTGTTTCGTTACGAACGTTTCGGAGGTTTTTTTTAAGGAAAACTGAAAGTATATAAAAATATCAGTTCTATTTTAATTATTAATAAGATCAAGTTGGATGAGTTTTTGCTATTGTTACGGTTGTTTTAATAAAAAACAAGTAATATATAAAAAAAATCTTTGAAGTCAATGACTACTTAGGTCAAAAAAGAATTTTATTTTAGTTACTTTTTATCAAATAATTACAATTAATATAACTATGTATATACATATAACAGAATCACAATTTAATTTTTATTATTAAAGTATTGTATTGCCATCCAAAACGATCGTGTACATAAAATTTCAATTCAAGTGAATGCTTTAAAACGCGAGAAAAAAAATCTTTTAAAGTTTTGACCCAAGTCTCTAAAAATGAAGCCAAAGTGACTGTATCTATAATTCTTTAAATAATTAGTGTCAGTCAATTAATTTTAATTAATTGTAATTAAATCACCATATTGTCATCCAAAATAATCGCGTATATAAAATTTCAGCTCAATGGAGCGGCTTAAAATGTATTCTATTAACTATTGAAAATTCGAACAATATATATATTTAGGGAGATTGTGAACAAATAGTAGGAATTGAAAGAGAAATAAATTTATGTATTTTTCGAATATTAATAAAACAAATCAACTGTTGATTAGAATTTCTGCTGAAAAAATTATAAGAAATCTTTATATATTACAGTATTAATTCAATTATTAAAATGTAACTGATGATTAATTTAATGATTTCCATACAAAACCACTGCGCATAAATAATTATTATTTCATTTCATCTGTCTATATTCTTATTGAAAATTCGACCCTGGTGTCATTGAAGACCTTCATTAGTGTCTTCTTGCTAAATCTATCGAGGCTTATAAAGTCCTCTCTTTGAAGTGAGGTGGTAGTTTGGAAAGGAAATGCCAGCTCGGGTGTCGTCCTCGTCACTTGACAGAGGATCGAAATTGCGGGATTCGTTGCCAATAGCCCTCGTATTTCTTTATCGAACGACGTAAATGAACTCTCCTTCAATCACTCATATTGAGAAACTTAAACTCAATAAAAATATTCGATAATTCTTAATTTAATTTAAATTTATTTCCATTCAAGCCGTAATTAATAAAGTATAACAATTCTAGACTACGATATAAACTAGTCTCCTTTAATTTTTAATTTTTAATAAAATTAGTTATAAGTAACTATCCTTTACTTTTACGTTATGATTAAAATACCGCAAAATCCTTTTAATACAAACACCGCCGCCACCAACATTGAATTTAAATATACACACCCAGTTCCTCATTTTAAATATTTCATACATCAATTTTTTGAAGTTATACTTCTTTTGGGGCGTTAAAGAAATAGGATGAGGGTAAATTTTTTCAATGCGTGCACCCCGTCACGGATGCGAACATCCTTTGTCTAGAAATATACAGAACGGGACAAATCATTTCCGCCTTCGAAATTCTCAGAAAAATATTGCTATTCACTACCCTGAAGAAGAGGACACACGGGTTTGAATCGGAGACCCCTCGATCTTCAGCCGAATGCTCTACCACTGAGCTATACACCCCGTGTCAGAGAGCCTTTGCTTTGCGGATACGAAAATGCTTTGTCTAGAAATATACAGAACGGACAGATCATTCCAGCCTTCGACCCCCTCTCCATATTATTGATCCTATTGTTCCATTGCGGGGGCGTTTAAATTTATTTAAATCGTAATTATCTCAGGTTTGGCTGGTCCGATTGACTGAAGGTTAGTATCGTTCAACTCTGCTCGTGACCGCCTTTTGTCCTTGGCCCAGCTTGCCCTGCTAAAGATTTTTAGAAAGATTTTAATCTTGTAACGCCAAAGAAGTATAACTTCTTACGTGCGTGCATAAGTACTTTTTTTATTTGTGAATTTCTCAATTATTATTTTAACCACAATTATATCAATCATATAATTCGTAGGTGCGTCTAACAAGAGACAATTTTGAAGATTTTTAAGAATTTTGAAGATACATAGTTTTGTATTTAATTTCAAATACAATTAATTCCCTTTAAAATCAGCTGCTTAAAGGTGAATTACCAAGGTTTAATGGTATACAATTATAACTTTTTAACAAATAGAAAAGAACAAAGATGGATTATATTACACAAATTAGCATTCATTTTAATATTTTTCTATCTTTCAAAATTTAATATTTTTTGAAAAAGTTATTCTTATATAAATTATGGCAATAATTAAACTGAAATAAACTCAGTGACGCAACAGCCCATGAAGGCCAAGGTCTACTGTGCCTATCTCAGTTTACGTGACCTTAGGCGCAGGGGTGCATGTGCAGATGTTTCAATCAACTGGGCAGTCTGACGTGAAACCCCCAATGTTCAGTTCCTGAGCAAAGCTGAGTCGACCTTGCCCAGCCCGGGATTTCAGCTCCGGATTTGTGGCGTGGAAGCGCGATACTTTACCACTCAGCTACTGGGCTTCATGGCATTAATTAAAACATATGATAATAAATGACACAACTTTTTTATTTATGGGCGAGAGAAAAACAATAAAATTTATTTTTCCATACACACACAAAAATTCCAATTTATAAGCCATCATATATCTTGTTTTTTCAATGTCGAAAATTATGAGTTGCTGTCTTATATTTTATTCAATTCCTACTATTAGCTCACACTCTCTGTATATTAGGTTGGGGGAAAAGAAATCCATTATTTTTGCATGAAATTCAAAACTTTATTTAACATGTTTTGGATTGTCCCATTTGGGTCAAATATGCACCGTTTTGTTGTATAATTTATTGCCATTTTAAAGGTAGCTTCATATTGCCTCTCTCATAGAAGTCTTGGCCTTTATTGGCGAAAAACTCTAGTAATCGATTTCCTCAATCTTCTCTTGATCCCAATTTCTTATCACTCAGGAAGTTTTGCAATGAAAGAAAAAGGTAGTAATCGTTTGGTGCCAGGTCCGAACTATATGGTGGATGCATTAAAACTTTCCAATCAAGCTCCCAGAGTTTTTGGCGAGTCACTACAGACGTGTGTGAACTGGCTTTGTCCTGATGGAACTCAACACCTCTTCTGTTGGCCAATTCTGGCCATTTCTGGTCGGTCACTAGCTTCAAACGGTCCAGTTGTTGACAGTAGAGATCTGAATTTAGTGTTTGGCCCTACGGACCAATTCATAATAAATTATTCCTTTCCAGTCCCACCAAATACACAGTAGAACCTTCCTGGCCGTTAGTCCTGGTTTGGCCAACGTTTGAGCTGCTTCACCGCACTTTGACCACGATCGTTTTCGCACAATATTGTAGTATGTGACCCATTCCTCATCCCCAGTCACCATCCGCTTAAGAAATAGGTCGATTTCATTCCGTTTGGCCAGGGCTTCGCAGATGGAAACTCCCTCCATCATGTTTTTTAGTGTTAATTGGTGTTGCACCCAAACATTAAGCTTCTTTTTGAATCCAACTTTGCTCAAATGGGTTAAAACTGTTTTATGGTCAATCTTAAGCTCCTGGGCGATGCTGCGACTACTAACATGCCGGTCAACTTTGATTATTTCTTTGATTTTATCGACATTTTCGATGACGGGCGCGGGGCAACTTTAACATCCAAAATGCCTGAAATGGAATCGACGAAACCAAAATTGCACGTAATTAGCTGTTACATTATCGGCACTATAAACACCATTCACAATTTCAGCCGCCTGGCTTGCATTTTGCCTTTATCAAAGAAAAACTGTAAAAGGTACCGATATTTCTCTTTGTTGACTTCCATTTTTAACACCCTGTAACTCACAACTGAATGGACCAATCAAAAAACATTAAAATAATTTTTTTAGAGTGAAATGTTACCATGACAACAAGCATAAATTTGAAATTGTTTGATCGATACTTCACGAGATATCGACATTACAACCATCTACCGAAAAAATAATGGATTTCTTTTTCCCCAACCTAATATTTATCTTGGTGGAATTTTCAATCGTTAATAAAATACATTTTAAAGCGCTCAATTGAGCTGAAATTTGATAAACATGATTATTTTGGATGACAAAAAACAGTAATTTAACTATAATTAATAAAATTAATTGATTAAAACTAATTATTCAAAGAATTACAAATACAGCCACGTTGGCATCATTTTTGGTGACTTAGCGACCCTTTTGGGGACTTGAGTCAAAAATTTTGAAAAGGTTTTTTTCTCACATTTTATAGGGCTCATTTGAGGTGAAATTTTCTATACACTAATGTTTTGAGTAAAAATACAATAATTTAATTATAATAAACTAAAACTAATTGACTGAAACTAATTATTTAAAGAATTACAGATACAGCCATGTTGGTTTCATTCTTAGCGATTTGGGTCGAAACTTTAAAAGATTTTTTTTCCTCACGTTTCAAAGCATTCAGTTGAAACTGAAATTTTATAGACACAATTGTTTTGGATGACAATACGATACTTTAATGATAATTAATAAAAATTAGTTAACCACTTAATGTTGTAATTCTGTCCTATGTATATACATATTTATATTAATTGCAACTATTGAATAAAAAGTAGCTAAAATAAAAATTTTCTTTGTTGATCTAAGTAGGAATTGACTTAAAAATTTTTTATATTACTTGTTTTAAGGAGCCAAACGCAAACCATAAATAGGTATATCACTCTGTTAGATCAATCACAATAATATAATTAAAAATTTATGAGTTCTGACGTTGGAATGACACTGAAGATCCAACGTATAGAAACTTTGATATATTATAGATAAAAAATTTCATATTGGATAGGTGAAATAGTATGAAGAGGAGGGGGGATACCCGCTGGAGTGGCGTCCTCATCACTTGACCGTAGTTCAAATTCCCTGGGTTCATCGCCAATGGCCCTTCGTGATGCTTTATATTGTGACAATAAAAAAAAAATAATCAAATAATCTGACATTTGAAAGTTTATTAATTTCAAACGGAATAATTTTAGTAATTTCACATTTTACTGGAAATTATAATTTTTTGTTTCTTTTCTTAAGGCAAGGAAATATTTTCTCTAAGTTTTGGTATTCTTTTGTAATTTAGCTTATTATTTATGAAATAAACATTTGTTTTAAAAAGGTTTGGAAGTATAAGAAGTTTCAATTTAAGAAATTTTAAATTCAAATTATTTTTCCTGATATGAGTAGCCATTATTAAGAATTAAAAATAAGTGAAACATTCAAGAAGTAGGATTATATATAATACAAGGTCCCCCCAACTGTGTGTGTGTGGAAAATGTCTAAATATTATACTACAAAAAAATCTAGAAATTTGAATTCTTTGAAAATATACAGTAAATAAATAAATAAATTGTGAAATTATTAATACAGCGATTTATATCATACACAATATACAGAAATTATTTCATCACTTGATTGGAGATTTTGCTGAGAAGATTAGAATTAAAAGCTTCGGCTAAAATTACTAAAACAGGACAAAAACCAATTATGAAGGAAAGCCAACTTAGTTAACAAAATCTAAATTATATTTCTTGTAACAAAATGTGTTTAAAAATTCTTACTGGCAGTCCAATTTTGAGTCAGAGGGATCTGAATTCTAAGTATCTCTGATGATAGCTAGGTTACAAATTTTTCGCACATTTCGTTCAAGAAAAGGTCAAGAATAATGACAAGTAAATACACTCTATCTTAAAAATAAGCAGCAAACAGTAAAATGAATATAACTCTAAAACTACAGCAATAGACTCTGCATATGTACATGCGAAAGCAGTTCACACATAGGATTGTGTAATGCAATATAACAAGTAATATAAAAAGTTTAAGACAATTCCTACTTACATCAACAAAGAAAATTTAATTTTAGTTACTTTTTGTTAAATAGTTACAATTAATATAAATATGTATATACATATGACAGAATTACAATATTGTGACAAAATAGAAGGCTATTTTCCTTGCAATTTTCCAATTTCCTTTCTATATAGGGTGTTGGATTATTTCTTGTTTTTGTTTGTGTTACTCTTTATTTATTAATTAAATTTAATTATTCTAATAAAATAGTATAGAAAAAAGAAATTATATTCTCAGAATTTAGGCCACCCCAGGTGGAATTCGAACTCACAACCTTTGGATTAGAAGTTCCAGCGCGCTATCCATTGCGCTACAGGGACACAACAAACAATTTTTTTTCTATATGCTGTTGAGCTATCATTTTTGTTTGTTGCTATTTATTCGATTTTTAATGTAATGAATTAATTAATACTTGAAAAACTGTATTAACATCAAGTGTCATCCACTACAAGTTTTAAAAATATATATATTTGAACTTGAATGGATGAATAGAAAGTATTTTATTAACGACTGAAAATTTGATCAAGACATATATATATATACAGTGGTGGCCAAAATTGTGGACACTTTTTAAAATTGTTATGTTTTTTAAGTTTGTATGTTTATAAAAAATGTTACGTTGCACAAAATGCAAAGTATTTTATGTCATTTTAAAGAGAATATAATACTGAATTCAATGCAAAAAACAAAATTCAATTACTTACAGCGAAAACTGAGTTATGCTGCTATAACTATCGATA